ACCTTATGTGGGGTTGGGCCTGATCCCCCTCCCAAGCAAGGTACATAACGCATTCAGTGAAGTGCCTCCTCACCTGTTGGCCCTCCACCCCCTCCTCCCTTATCCATCCACCCCAGAAGCATGGACTTGCACTCTTCCAAACACATCTTTACACCTTTGTTCATGCTACTCCCTCTCCACGGAATGTTCTTTCCCTATTGTTCACTCGGGAAACCCTGACTCGGCACGTCCCCTGTGTGGTTCCCCATGGCTCTCACCCTGCCCTCTACAGAAGAATGAGTTTCATTATCCTCTGTGTTCCTAGAACCCCCTGTGCATCCTTCTAATACAGAATTTATTTTATTAAAGATTTAAGTAATCTCTATATCCAACATGGGGCCCAAACTCATGACCCCAAGATCAAGATCAAGAGTAGCACACTCTTCCAACTGAGCCAGCCAGCGCCCCCAAATAGAGATTTTAGCCCATGACAGTGTATTTATTACCTGCTTTGTCTCCCCAATAAGGTCTTGAGATCTTTGAGGGAATTTTATAAGGTTGGAGCTTTTAAAATCCTTGATGCCTACCATCATGCCTGGAACACAGTGATTGTTTAGTAAATGTTTGGTGAATGAATGAATATATGCATGCTGAGCCCTGCCCCCAAATACGAAGAGTATAGTTATGCCAGGATTCCACTAGAGGGAGGGATGTCAAGCTTTGTCCCCTCCAGCACAGCATTTTAGGTTGGATGGGTTCTCATGCATGGGTATGGATGAACAGAAAGGGTAGGAACCATCTATACTAATATTTTACAGGTCTGTGGTATGTAGAGTGCACTTAAGTACATCACAAACCTTTTCTTTCCTCAAACATAGTCTTATTTTCTAAAACATGCTCCACCTTGAACATTTATTGCCCCATGCACAATAAATGCTGTGGAATCTGATGACCACACAGCTTTCTGATTTCCAGTTGTCCTGTATCTCTCATATCTTGTCTTGAACACGCACACATATACACACTTGCTGTTCATGAAGTCAGCTGAAACAACTCAAACAGCCAAAGATCTAGAATCTAGATCAATTTGGAATTCAGTTCTCCTGTTCAATGAATGTGACTGGCAAATCCTCAAGGGCAGCAGTTCCCCACTCCTCAACTCCACCCACCCCAGCCCCAAAACAACTGTCCTGGCTGCTTTCTTGGCGTTGGCATTTGTGGGTTCGTCATTTATCACAGTGTATTGCAATAATCTGCATATCTGTCCATACCTAAACAGGGCTGCAAACTCTTTTTTTTTTTTTTTTTTTTTTTGCAAACTCCTTTAAGAGGCCAGCGTGGATCTTATTCTTTCTCTTAGCCTCAGCAGCTAGCATAGCACCTGGCACACGGTGTTTAGATACGTATTTTAAATAAATAAACTCATTTCATTATAAGGGTAGTGAGATAGGGATTTCTACCAGCATCCACAGCAAGAGGCTGGATTGGTTTGGGGTGTATATAGACATGTGTGTATACATGTGGTGGAGGAGCTGGTCTTGGGTGTTAGGAAACTGATTTAAGGCCTCTGGAGGAGAGGAGATAAACACATGGGTGAACATATAAGAACCTTCTCCAAAACCCTCCTATCAGTGGCTGAGGAGTCTGAACTTCCATTATTAGAGAGTCATACCTTTGGATTACCTTTGGCTCCCTGTCAACATATCTTGAACCCATGTGACCTTGTGATTACATAAGTTATCACATTAGTTTCAGAACTGAAATATCTTCCGTTTCTGATTTGTAGCCTCAAGTTGCACAGCCCCCTCGCCCCTACACCCCCCACCCCACCCTCCCAAACTGCCCCCCACTCCGCCGACTACCTGAGATAGACTCCTGTTAACTTTCTGTAGTTTTCAGTAGAAAGTTATTTATTTATTCCTCTTTTCAAACATAGAGCTATACATCAAATAGGCTCTTTCAAATCATATATACCGTAATATTTGCAAGGGATGAAAACACATCAATTTGTATAGCTCCATGAGTTCATAATGATAGTAAAAAGAAAAAAGCAAAAACTTGATCAATCACCATTAGAAGACAGCAAATTGACTTCTTGCATTGAAAATGTGTAAATGAAGGGAGAGACTCAAGCGTTTACTCTGCCTTTCCTGTGTAAACACCACCGGGTAGGCCAACATTAGATAAGGGGAGAAGCTTGTCTTCATAGAAATAGTTCAGCAAGTGAGTGAAGAAGAAATGATAGAATTAGGATATCACCCCTCTGATGCAATGAGAATGCAACCTCTAGTGAATTAATGAATTTAGACACTAAGCATCAATGGCTGGTAGCATTACAAACAAAAGACAATCAGACATTGTATGCCTCCTGTAGGAAGTGTAAAATGCCAAGTATAACGAAGTCTGATCAAAGTTCTAGATCCAGCAACCTATTCGTAAGAAGTACAGAGAACAACAGAAGACATTAAGCCAACAAAGTGTGAAGAAGAAAAAAGATCACATTTATGAAACAATGAGAAATTTGAACACCGATTTGATACACGTTATTAAATAACTTATCATTTTTTTAGGTGAAATAATGCCACCGTGGCTATTTTCAAGAAAGAATCCTTATCTTGTCGAAATGTGTGCTAAAATATGTACGGATGAAATCATAAGATGTCTGGGATTTGCTTCAAAAATAATGCGGGGCTGGAGGAGGTCAGGGACAATGGGAGGGTGCATACATGAAGCAAGATGGCCTTGATGGCAATTGTTGAAGCTGAGTAATGGGTACATGGGAATGCATTATGCCATTTTGTGCACTTTTGTATTTCTTGACATTTTCCAAAGAAAAAGTTTTTTCTTTTAAATTATTAATACTTCCCTGAATATTCTGATATTCTTGTCCTAAGGGATCGCCATTTCTCTCCCACCTTTTGAGACCATTATCCTAGGGAATCTCTGGGGAATTGCAAATATCCTAGGAAAAGTTACATTAATTCATTAATATGTCTGCACACTAGTTAAACGATTATTTCCTGGGCTGTCTTTACTGCTGAAAATACTGAATGCCTGAGGATAAAATAAAAGAAAGCCTTGGAAGAGGAAAAAATAAGGGCTGGGTGTGAAAAGAAGCAAGGAAGAACAAATTTGATCTTCATTATGATTTTCCCAGGGCCTTCACTGGTTGGCACCTGCATCTTCTTTGTCTGGGGTTTTACTAAGAGAACTTCCACTGGAGGCAAGAAAAAAAAATGTTTGAATTCTGGATTCTCAGGTTAAAATTTCACAAAGGGTCCCTTTCATGCTGTTAAAGGCTAATATAAATATTTTTTAGGAGAAGAAGGACTCCTTTTTCATCGTCTAGTGAGCCAATGATGAGACTGCTTGGGTGGGGCTAGGCACAGTTTTGCCTGAGCCTGAGAACCGTCTAGACCTGTCCACAAGACTACAAGGATGTGGAAACCAGGAGAGAGTAAGGAGTCATCTTAAGTGCTCAAGAGTATAGCTTTTTATAGAAGATCTCTGGAAGAACACCAAGAAACTGGTTGCCTCTGGGGAGAGAAGCTGGAGTACTTGGGACAGGGTGGGGGAAAAATAAAGTATGACTTTATTGTTACAGCCAGATTATACTGTGGTTAGTGCCTTAAAATATATGATGGCATTTTGCAAACAGCCTTTTGTTGACATAAGTGTACCGTTTATCTTGAAATTAGACAGAAGACAGATGTGTGTTCATGGTTTCCTTGTCTGGGCCAGGTGCTGACACCACTGGCTATTTGCATATTTTCTGGATAGTCCTTTCTTTACCTTCCCTACCCCGCCCCAAGCTCCCAGAATCTAATTGGGAGCAGTAGATGGTCACTGGAACCAACGAGAATGGGACTCTAGTAATTCTAGTAGAGTTTCTCCATGGGTGACATGGCATTGGTCAAAGGTCAGATTTCCCCCCACAGAAGCACCCCTAATAGCAGAGCCAAGGGAGCATTCTCTTTGATGGCTCCTGTTTTACTTTAAATATTCAGATGAATTCTGCAATCTATGATTTAGCAGCACTTTGTTTTTATAGAACACGATATGATGTTATTACTAGGGGAAAACAGTTGGTGTGTTTATCCGGTGGAGTCGAGAACTCCCGCACACCTGTGCATGTCCCTGAAGCACCGGGTCTAGTTTTGTTTTGTGTTTTCTCTTTATTTGTTGAGGTTATTATTTATGTACAGTAAAATTCACTACTCTTACATGTACGCTTTAATGTTGGTAATTGTGTACGGAGTGTGACCATTAACACCATCAGGATCTGGAACAGTCTCACCACCTGAACACGGTTTTCCACCCCCCTTTGCCCGAGGGCAGTTTTGAGACACTTAATTCACTTCTGTGGCATTCTCTAATACTGACTCTGGGTGATTTGGGGAAAGTCCCTGGATGTGTTTCTGCTCTCCTATCATGATGAATGTCGGCATAGCTTTGTGTCTAGGGGCTCTTCCAATACTTTTAGAATAAGGAGTGGGGGTGAGGGCGGTTATCTGAGCTTGCATCTGGGTTCTTGATAGATCACGGGCAGGTGGCTGACCCTGGTGGGTAAAAGCCTGTGGTCGCTTCAGACCAAGTTTCCCATCCTCTCTTGCTAGTGTGTAACACCTTCCTTTTATTTTATTGTATTTTATTTATTCATTTTATTTTTTATTTTATTGTATTTTCTTTATTTTTATTTTAGTTATTGTATTTGTTTTATTTTTATTTATTGTATTTTATTTATTTTATTTTTTATTTTAGTTATTGTATTCATTTGTTTTATTTTTTATTTTCTTTATTGTATTTTATTTATTTTATTTTTTATTTTAGTTATTGTATTTATTTGTTTTATTTTTTATTTTATTTATTGTATTTTATTATTTTGTTTTTGTTTTATTTATTGTATTCATTGTATTTTATTTAGTTTATTTTATTTTTTATTTTATTTTATTTATTTTATTTTATTTTATTTTATTTTTTTATAAATTTATTTTTTATCGGGTTTTATTTTTATTTTAATTTTAGGTTGCAGTGTTTTCTAAGCGTCAGTTTCAGGTTCCTCCTCTGCAGTATTGGGCTTAGAGACGGGACGTCTGCGTGTACCGCGGCGACGATGAAGTGAGATGCGCCCTTAAATATTGGTTGGTATTTTTATTCACGGCACGACACAAAGCCAGGACCCTCGACCATCTCGGCTGCCGCCCGTCTCCGCGGGAGGACCCCACCCCAGCGCAACCGAGGCACAAAGCGCGCCCAGCCACCCGCACACCTCCCGCCGCTCGCAGCACCTGCCGGCGCCCGTGCATGCGCTTCCAGAGAGCGTCCCTAGAGGGCAGACTCGAGGCCGGGAAGTTCTAACGCCCGTCGTACGGGCACGACGTGAAACGGCTCTGCTTTGCGGCCCCCGGCCTCCGCCGTAAAGCGCGTGGGCTGCCCCGCGTGAGTGAGCTGACGGGCGACTTCCGCGGGTGCGGGGGCGGGAGGGAGACGCGCGGGTGGAAGGGGTGAAGCGGTGGAAGGCGGTGGAAGGCGGGGCCCCTGGACGCTCCGGCTATGGGCAAACGCGGGAGCCGGAGCCGGAGCCGGAGCCGGAGCCAGCTGCTCCACGCCCTGACTAAGAAGCAGAAGAAGCACCTTCGGGATTTCGGCGAGGAGCATCCCTTCCACGACAGGTGTGGCGGCCACTGCCCGGCGCGCGGGGGGCGCCTCTCCGCGGGGTCCCGACGCGGCTGCCGCGGCCCGCGCGCCCCCTCCCCCCCGCGCTCCTCCCCTCCCCCCCGCGCTCCTTCCCTCTCCCCGCGCTTCCCCGCAGCGCTCCCCCCCACGCTCCTCCCTCCCTTCCCCTGCGCTCCACACCCTGTGCTCCTCACGCCCCTCCCCCCGCGCTTCCCATGCTTCTCCCCACGCTCCTCCCCCCGCGCTTCCCACCCTCCTCCCCACACCCCTCCCCCCGCGCTTCCCACCCTCCTCCCCACGCTCCTCCCCCCGCGCTTCCCCCACACTCCTCCCCACACTCCTCCCCCTCCTCCCCACGTTCCTCCCCCCGCGCTTCCCATGCTCCTCTCCACGCTCCTCCCCCCACGCTTCCCCCACCCTCCTCCCCCCCGCGCTTCCCCCACCCTCCTCCCCACGCTCCTCCCCCTCCCCATGCTCCTCCCCCCGCGCTTCCCACCCTCCTCCCCACGCTCCTCCCCCCCCCCGCGCTTCCCCCACCCTCCTCCCCACGTCCCCCCCCGCGCTTCCCCCACACTCCTCCCCCTCCTCCCCCCGCGCTTCCCACCCTCCTCCCCACGCCCCTCCCCCCGCGCTTCCCACCCTCCTCCCCACGCCCCTCCCCCCGCGCTTCCCACCCTCCTCCCCACGCTCCTCCCCCCACGCTTCCCACCCTCCTCCCCACACTCCTCCCCCCTTCCCCATGCTCCACCCCCTGTGCTGCTCCCGCGCGCTCCTCCTCCCCACACTCCTCCCCCCTTCCCCATGCTCCACCCCCAGCGCTTCCCCACAGCGCCCCCCCACCCTCCTCCCCCTCCCCCACGCTCCCCCTCCTCCTCCCCCCCTCCTCCCCCGCGCTTCCACCTCCACCACCCCCCACCCTGGGTTCAGGTGGCTCCAGAGATGGGGTTCTTCAGATGGGCTTCGTGAGTCTTCCTGCCTTTCATGGAGCCCCTTAGCTTTGTGCTAGACCTCACGCCTCCTGTGGGGCTGGGCTGCTTGTTTTTGTGCCGTTAGAGAGGTTTCCTAAGATTTTGTGTGTGTGTGTGTGTGTGCGTGTGTGCGTGTGTGCGTGTTGTAAAGAATTGCCTGGGCCCTTGGACACCTGTGTTCTCTCCAGGTACAGTGGGGACACCGGCGCACCGGTACCTGTGGCTCCGCCTCGCGTATCCAGACTCTCGGTTCCCATCTTGTTGCTCACCCGCCACTGTGCTTTGGGCCGCTTCACACCAGCGGTTAGGGGCATTATGATTAAGAAATGTGCTAGGGGATCCCTGGGTGACGCAGCGGTTTGGCGCCTGCCTTTGGCCCAGGGCGTGATCCTGGAGACCCGGGATCGAGTCCCACATCGGGCTTCCGGTGCATGGAGCCTGCTTCTCCCTGTGTCTCTGCCTCTCTCTCTCTCTCTCTCTCTCTCTCTCTGACTATCATAAATAAATAAAAATTAAAAAAAAAAAAAGAAATGTGCTAGAAAATGGGCTTTTATTTGCTTAATTGATACTTCTTTGCAAGGAGAGCCAGTTAACTGTGTTCGTCATGTGACCTTGTTAAACTTTTCATGTCTGTTAGTCGTTTGTGATATTCTTACAATCCCTGCCCAAATGCACTTGTAGCTTTCACATGACCGTAGTTATAATGTATTTATAATGGAATTTTCTGCCTTTTTCATTTAAAGTTGTATTGTTAGACTGTTTACTAATGGCAATGTGCTAGTAGTTAGAGTTTAATGTTACCTGTTTCTTCTCAGGGTTTCTGGAAAGGAGGCAAAACCACAGATCTATCAACGGGTAATGCTTTTATTCTTTTTTAAGTAATAGGTGGTTCTTGGCTGTTAATTTTAAGATTGTATATAATGATAATAAAAGCCTGGCTACATTTTCACTCTTTGCGATTGTAGATGTAAGCCATTAATTTAGTCATGTTGCTTAGTGTTGAATGCAGATGTCTGTCATAATGCCATTGTGATAACTGATAGAGTTTGAAACACTTTTTTTTTTTTTATTATTATTTATTTACGATAGTCACAGAGAGAGAGAGCGAGAGAGGCAGAGACACAGGCAGAGGGAGAAGCAGGCTCCATGCACCGGGAGCCCGACGTGGGATTCGATCCCGGGTCTCCAGGATCGCGCCCTGAGCCAAAGGCAGGCGCCAAACCGCTGCGCCACCCAGGGATCCCTGAAACACTTTTTAAAAATAGATTGTATTTATTCATGAGACACAGAGAGGCAGAGACACAGACAGAGGGAGAAGCAGGCTTCCTGCGGAGAGCCTGATGTGGGACTTGATCCCATGACCCCAGGGCCAGGCCCTGAGCCGAGGCAGACACTCAACCCTTGAGCCATCGAGGTGCTTCTGAGTTTGAGATTCTTGAGCCTACTAGAACCTGCCAAGAAGACTCACCAGAGAGCTCTTGGTGAATCCTTAGCAGTGTCTTGTTTACTCAACATAGAGGGAGCCACAAACAGTGCAAACTGAACAAAGTTCCTAGCTCAGTACAGCAAACTAAAAATGCATTCTTTTGTTGTATTGTAATTTTCCTATTGCTCTGTTGGGCATGCCAAATATCTGACAGGTAGATCAGATTTCCTTATAACCAAAAGCTCTATTTTTAGCCTGCTTTTTTCCCATGTAGAATATTAGCATTTCAAAGAAGATGAATAGATTCTAGAATCACAGCTAGACTAGCTTTTTTGTTTTGTTTTGTTTTGTTTTTTTCAAAGACAGTCACGCACTTTTAGGGGGTGGGGACGGGGAGAGAGAATTTTAAGGAGGCTTCGCACCTAGCATAGAACCCAACACTGGGGCTGGATCCCACAACCCTGAGATCGTGATCTTGAGCCAAAATCAAGAGTCCAGAACACTTAACCAACTGAGCCACTCAGGCGTCCTGCTAGACTAGCTTTTAAAAATAACTTTGTGGCTAGGCATGATTGAGTAGATAGGATATGCATATTTACAGAAAAGCTAATTTTTATTTATGAAAGTCTCAACCTGTTCTATTTTTGGCCTAATGATAATCTTAGGGCAGAAACAAGAATATGTTTCTGTTTTAAATTTTCCCATTTTTTCCGGGCCGCTGGGTGGCTTAGTCAATTAAGCATCTGCCTTCAGCTCAGGTCATGATCCCAGGGTCCTGGGATGAGCCCCAGACTCAGCAGGGAGTCTGCTTCTCACTGTCTCTAACCCTACCCTCACTCATTCTCACTTCCTCTCAAATAAATAAATCAAATATTTTTAAAAAATAAAATTTCCCATTTTCCTTTTAGTCAGAGAATTCAGATGCTTCAGGTTCTGAAAGTGAAGCAGAGAGTGAACCAGAACAAGTTTCTGGGTACCACAAACTACTCGCCACATTAAAGAATGCATCAGAAGAGGATGAGGAGGAAGAGGAGGATGAAGAAGAAGAGGAAGAAGACAGTGCTGTAGATGAGGCAGAAACGAACAGTGAAGATGATGGTAGTGATGTCAGCGTGGAGAAAGAGACAACAGCCGAGTCCACCAAAGTGCAGGAGAGTAAGTCTCTTTGGTGTGGGCTCGGTCACCTTTGTCAGGACATCTGCCCCGTGAACACGGTGCCGGGTACTGTGTGAGTTGCACCAAAGCACATAGATCCAAAGCAGGGACTCTTAACCTTGTTGATTCCGTGATATCTTTGAAAATCTGGTGAAAACACAAGACCATATAGCCAGAAAAATGCAGTAGTAGTATTTTTGCTTACCATTTCCAGGATTTCATCAATCCTAGTTAAAGAGCCCTTGACTCAGAGGAAAGGGAACATGATGCTGTTTTTGTGCCAGTCTCAAAGAGATCACTGTCCCTCCCTTAGAGAAACCAAGTTTAATGGAAGACAAACTGTACAAAAATTGTCAAGCAGCAGGTTTGTATGGAGCAGCCAGTTAAGAGGCGTTGAAGAGACATGGAGTGGTTGCACATTGTCAGAGTGAATGAGGGAGGGCTTCAGAGAAGAGCTGAGATTGAGAGCTTAAAGGAATTCTCTCATTCAGACTTCAGGTGGCTTTTTTCTTTTAACTTTAAAACCCAACTTTATGGTGGTATGTATGATTTACATTGAAGTGTACCTATTTTAAGTGTACAATTCAGTGAGTTTGACAGATACATCCTCTATGTTATAATTCTCAAAATCAAGATTCAGAACATTTCCGGTACTTCCAAAAGATGTCTTCTTACTCTTTTATGGTCGGTTGCCCCCTCTGGCATCAGTCAACCACTGACCTGCTTCCTTTCACTAAAGATTAGTTTTGCCTGTTCTAAAAATTCATATAAATGGAAGCATATAGTCTGTACCCTTTTGTGTCTGGCTTCTTTGGCTCCTCAAGTTTTTTGTGACTGATCCAAGTTGTTCATGTACCAGTAATTCATGAGTTGGTACTGCTGGAGTCATATCGCGTTGTCAGTGTGTCTGGGTACCTTTTTATATCTCGCTATGGTAATGCCTGTTTACCTTGCAGCCATATTTTTTCTCTATACCGTAAGGTCATACATAATTCTTAACATTTTAATTTATCAATTTTACTAGGATAAAAATTCATTGCCTCAGACTTAGGGTTTTGTTTTGTTTTCTATTTCCTGTTTTGTATTTCTTTTAATGAAAAGTTCGAGTTTGGGATGCCTGGGCGGCTCAGTGGTTAGTCGTCTGCCTTCGGCTGGGGTGGGGGGTGATCCTGGAGACCTAGGATTGAGTTCCTCATTGGACTCCCTGTAAGGAGCCTGCTTCTCCCTCTGCCTGTATTTCTGCCTCTCTTTCTCTCTCTTTCTCATATAAATAAATTTTTTTTTTAAAAGAGAAGTTTGGGTTTTTTGGTTGGTTTTTTTGTTTTTTTTTTTGGTTTTTTAGGTTATAGAAGTGACGTGCTTACTGTTAAAATTTAAGAGGATAGTGTAGTTAACCTATATTTTCACCACCTTCGAATGAACACCTTTAACATTTTATATAACTTTCCAGATTACTTTTTTATGGATACATGTGTGAGTACAAGTATGTACATATATAGTTGTGTGTGTGTGTGCGCACACATACTAATGGTCTCATCCACTTTTGCAATTTACTTTTTTTTTAATAGTATACCACAGACCTTTTCTATGTGAATAATCAGGGATTCATGTTAGCTTCTCAATTACATGGTATTTCATTGTAAATGATATGTGGTAATGTAATTAGCACTCTTGTGCTAATTGTGTCTATCGAAAAGGATGAAATCAATTTTTCCAGTTATTTCTTGTTTTAATCAGTGCCTCTTTGAACATCCTTATATGTGTATCTTAGTGTACTTCGTCTGGTTATCATCTTAAAATAAGTTCTAGAACTGGAACTGGTTCACTCATCAGGCTTAATTTTGAAACTTAAATCTTCCACCTGTATTTCCTTAAAAGTAAATAATAGCAATGAACATCAGTGTTGATTTAGGCTAAGGAATTAAATTTTACTTGTTCACAGAACTATAATTATATTCATGCCTAAATAATTTTACAAAATGTTTCTCAAAATTACAGGTATGGTTTTGCCTGCTGACCCTGAAGGAAAAGATGGGGATGGGCCACTTGGCACATCACAAGAATCCCTTGAGGAGTTTACAGATGCAAAACACGAGTCACTCTTCAGCCTGGAAACCAATTTTCTCGAGGAAAGTGAAGGCGCATGTTCTCTGAAAGTATCACAAGGTCAGAGCAGCGTGTATTGTTCAAATTCAGCAGGTGCTTAGCATGGGGGCTTGTGTGCTAGTACGTGTTAAATCTCTTGCTACTGCAATGAGCAGCAATAGAAACATTTTAGCAGCTATATCTAGAACTGGGAAGAAAGACTTCTCAAAGGTATTTTTTGGTTTTTAGTGGTGAGGCAGTGCTGGGAGTCAGGAGGCTACTTAGTAGGACAGGTAGCCTAGGAGTGAAAGTGGGGAAGGCCAGCTCCCCAGACCTCGTATTTCCACCGTTGGGGTCAAGGGAAGACTTCTGATTTTCTCCCCACGCAGGGAAGGAAGAGAAAGGAGAAAAATACTTTATACTTTTCTTTGTGCCCTTCATTTGCTCTTTGTTACGGGAGTAGGAATTTTCCAGATTTGTAAGACTCAGGACTGGCTAATCTCCTTGGTCCTCATTACCTGGGGAGCACCTTCAAAGCCAGAAAGCTCCTTCTGTCCCTCCAGTCTCTCTCGGCCTCTTGGCCATGCCTCTCTCCCAGTGGCAGTGACTAGGACAAGGCCTGCCTCTGTGTGGTAGGTGTAGTCAGATCTCTGCTCTCTCTCTCAGGTCCACTTTCTCAGCTTGTTCCTGGAGGGCAAGTCACATTGGTCTCATTTGTGTTCTGACTGCCTTTTTTGGCTTCATTGTTCTTCTTCTACCCAGCTCTACCGTTAATGAAGCTGATGTTTTAATCCTTATTTGGCTCTTTTGTTCTGTTGGTTATCGTGCTGGAGAAGTAGTAGATAAAATTTGGGCACAAACCCCATTCTGAACCATCAGAACTTTAATAACCTTGGAGAAGTGGTGCCTGGGTGGCTCAGTTGGTTAAGCGTCCTGCTGTTGATTTCCACTCAGGTCATGATCTCAGGGTTGTGAGGTCAAGCCCTGTGTCAGGCGCTCTGCTGCTTATGACTCCTTCACCCCTCATGCTCCGTTGTTCACATGCACTCTCTCTTCCTCCCTCCCCCTCTATTTTTTTTAAGAGTTATTTATTTATTTATTTATTCATGAGAGAGAGAGAGAGGCAGAGGGAGAGGCAGGCTCCATGCAGGGAGCCCGACATGGGACTCGATTCCAGGTCTCCAGGATCACACCCTGGGCTGAAGGCGGTGCTAAACCGCTGAGCCACCCAGGCTGCCCATCCTCCCTCTCTAAAAGAAAGGAAATTTTTTAAAAAATCAGAACCTTGGAGGAGACATGAGGAAGTTTGAGTATCCTAAAATTTCTCTGGTTGTTTTGCCTATACAGATATATTAGCACCTAGGATTCTTATGTCCTATAGTTTGCTTCTGGGTGTTTAGTACAAAATGCACTGCATTGAAGTTTTGCCATTTGGATCCTTGCATAGGTCATTTAACTTTTCTCTGCTTCTTAATGAGTGACTGGAACGTAAGGTTGGGTGGCTAGCTCAGAGGACTGAAGATAAGATAACCTCGACTGTAGGTACTACTAGTTGGATCATTGTTCAGCTCAGTTGAGTATTGAACATTTCTATGTGTCCTGTAATATAAGATAAATCAGGGATGGATCCTGCTCTCAGGGATCTTACAGTGTTGCAGCGAGTAGGTGGGGGCAGGGTTGGGGACAGTCTGTAGGGCACCATGGATGGCCTCTTATTGGAACCAGTGCTGTGCCTGGCATAATAGGCTTCAGGAAAATAGTTCTTGTAGTCAGGATGTGACATTAAACTGATAGTATTTGGATTTACAAAAATGAAGTGAAGGAAAGGATAGAATTTTTAATCAGAGGAAGAAAACCCACAGAGGCAGAAGGATTTGAGGGCCATATAATTCAAAACTTACATTGGAGAGGTAGCTTGGAGGTGTACATCCTAGAGTGCCCCAAATTTCAGACTGAGAAGCTTCTTCAAGGGTTTTGAGCTGAGAAGTAATGTGATGAGAGAAATGCTTTAGGGAAAGGAACCGGTTAGAAACTTTTGAGCTGGGAGAGAGGATGGGGAACAAAGATGGGGAAAAGGATGAGTTAAAATCGAGAAAAAAAGAGTATGTCGTTTGGAGAGAAGACCAAAAAAATGCCTGCTCTTTCCTCCCAAGTGATCTGACATGTCCTGATTTCTGCATTAGATCCATTCCTACAACATGTGAACAAAGAACTGAAAGAAAAAGAAATTCAGGCTGTTGCCACAAATCCCAGAACTACTCACCAGCTAAAAGTAAGTGTTGCCTAGTCATTCCTGGTCACCAAGAAAGTAAAGCTCCAAGTTAGGCAGTGGTCTTGGGTTTTGGCGTTCTCCTCGAATGTATGATAAACACCAGTGGTAGAAGAGTTGATGGGGGAGCATAGGATAGGAAGGCTGGAAGAGCTTAGTGGCACAGGTGTAGCTGGGAGAGGCCTGGGGAAGCTGGAGTGTGGGAGCAGGTAAGAATGGCTTTGCAGGCAGGTCCACCAGGGTGTGGACCAGCATCTGAGAGATGCTGTCACATGACCCAAGGCAAGTCAATCTACCTCTTTGATCTTCACTATTCTCATCTGTTAGAGGAGGGGCAGTAATGCTTACCTCAAAATGAAGTGGTGTAGTTTACTGGCATACATAGAAAATATTGAGTAAAACAGTAGCTACTGCTGCTGTTGGTTTGTTCAAAAAATCTGAGAGAGGTTCATAACTAAGTTACTCGTGTGGAGCCATTTTTGCTGCTTTGTGTGGTTTTTTTTTAGTTTAGTTTTTTTTTTTTTTTTTATCAGCTCATGCTGTTTTTAAGACTTGGTCATTCTTTTTTAATTGAAATTTTTACTAAAGTAATAATTATAGCTACATTTTTAAGAAATAACACAAAGACATCCCTTATGCCCTTTGCCCAGTTTCCTCCAGTGGTAGTGTCTCGGCAAAACTGTTTTACAGTATCAGGGCCAGGAAATTGACATTGACACGCTTCTGTCTTCTTCAGCTTTTCCCAGTTTTGCTCCTACTCTGTTGTGTGTATCTGTAGTTCTTTACTATTTTGTCGGGTCTAGGTTCCCCTTATCCACCACCAAAGTCAAGATGAGAACATTCCCAGCTCCATAAAGATCTCTCTTGTTTCTGCTTGCCCTTTTAAAACCACACCCTTCCCCCTCCTCCCAATTCCTAATCCTTGGTAACCACTAGTCTGTTCTCCGTTTCTATAATTTTGTCATTACAAAAGCATTATATAAAAAGAATCCTACAGATTGGCTTTTTTCACTTAGCATAGTTTCCTAGAGATCCACCTCTAGTTCTTGGGGCATATTAATAATTCATTTCTTTTTATTGCTGAGATCATCTTTTTTTTTTTTTTCTGAGATCAGCGATTTTGTTACGATGCAAAAATTCCCACTCATACTGGCATCACACACACACACACACACACACACAAATATATATATATATGCTTTAGGATTTTAATGGCTGTATCTCAAAAAATTTATTTCATACCCAAGTAAATTTGGAAGACTTGAAGTTAAATACAATAGAACAGAGCTCTTGTCATAGGACTCAGCAGAACCTTTTGTATCTAATATACATTGTGACTCTCTGTAAGGGGTATTAGCTTCTGTGTTGTTTACCAAAGTTATTTGACCATGGAGCCCCCCCCCCCTTTTTTTTTCTAGAATGAATTTTGATTTCTTAGAACATATTCCACCGAATGGTTTGGGACATACTGACCTAGTGAAGAGCTCAGGTTGGAAGTCAGAAACCTTGAGCTCTAGCTCTCCTAGGTAAAGTTTGTCTGAATCCTATAATGTCTGAGCCTCTGCTTCCCTAAACTATAAGACAAGCATTATAGTGTCCACCTTGCTGGGTTGTCAGTGAGGATTAAATGAAGTAATCTGATACATCGGAGAGAGCTTGGTAAATTAGAAAGTACTGTGTGAAAGTAATGTATTGAAGAGATTTCTAACTTAGCTCTTGATCTCTCTCTCTTTCCTAGTGGCCTGTATTGGGCCAGCTTGTCTTTTCATCCAAGTTTCAGAAGTTGGAAACATTTAAACCCTCAAAGGACGTTGACTTAAAGTCACTTCATCTGCAGAAGCCCCTGGAATCCACCTGGACCAAGACCAACAGCCAGTTCCTCTCTGGTCCCTCCAAATCAAGTAGCCCCTTCACACCCCTCCAGAAAGAGCTCTTCTTAATTATGAACTCTTACCAGGACCTATTCTACCCAGAAAGGACTGCCCTGAAGAATGGGGAGGAGATTCGCCATGTGTACTGCCTACACGCAATAAATCATGTCCTCAAAGCCAATGCCCAGGTGCTTAGTAACAATAGCAGACGTCGCAGTCAGAAGCTTGGGGTGGGTGACGATGATGACTTCAGAGACCAAGGGCTAACAAGGCCCAAGGTGAGTGGCAGCAGGAGAGCTTCGTCCAGGAGAGCATTGTCCTCCAGAAGGAGGCTTCTGACTCTGCCATATAGGTGTCTGGCACTTGGCAGATATTCAGGTATTTTAATGATAACAAATACTGGAATAATGAATGAGTCCAAGAGTGAACACCTTAGATGGGCCAGGTGGTGCCAGAGCAGTGCAGCAGACAGCTCAATGGACTGTTTCTAACTGGATTTAACTGGAAACTTGTGAGAGGTTCCTCTATGATAATTCTTGAGATAACCCTGAGCATGCATAAATGACACTCCATTGTAAATCTCTTTGTGATTGTCAGAAATGGTTGGAACCTTAGCCAGCCTTTTATCCAATCTCTAAATACTGCAGCTATGGACAGAGACCCAGATTCATAGAGGACCTTGCTGAAGAGAACCAGGAAATGAGTAGCAGAGATGGGATTAGAACCAAGAATTTTCATTACTGAGCCACACACATAAATAATTCTTGGGAAACAGAAATTCCTGTTTTTCCATTGTATACTTACCGCTGCCTAAAGTGATGATTACCTTTATTTGGGCTCATAAGCCTAAGTTCCAGTGGATGTGGGACTTTGGTAGGAAATGTCTTTTAATTGTGCCCACATTACTCCTGTTATGTGCCTACATCATGTGTCTTCCATTCCCCACACCTCCTTAACCTGTATCCCTCCATATTGAAGAAGTCTCATCTTTTTAGACTGTTTCACTGAGTCTAATAGGATTCTAGGGCTTAGTACTGATGTGGCTCTTAGACATTTTTTAGTCTGGCCCCCTATATGATAACTGGGGAAGCTGAAGCCTGGATACTTATTGTCACAGCTGGGACAGCAGTAACTTGGCCCTCTTCAATCTAGGGCCCTTGGTGCTGCACTGTACCAGGCTGACTCACTATGCCCCTGTGGCTGTGCTTGCTCTCTTTCTGGGAAACTGTCTCAGAGTCTTAAAAATAAGGATTATAAGTTTATCTGTTTCCATTTAGAGTTGTAGAAAACAATGAGTCAGATTACCCATGAAGCACATTTAGAATTTGATGAGTTGTGGGCTCTGACAGGGGTTGTTTACATTGTTGATATTTACAGAAGGGTAATGAGAAATTTATTGTTTGTTAAGCATATTCTATTTTTATTCTCACCCGTTGTAACTGTAAGCATTTTTGGAAATGTTAGGAAAACTGAGTCCTACATTTCCCATTGAAATATGATCTCATTTCAGAAATGCTTTATCATCATTTCTGAAAAACGTGCTAGGAAATATATTAGATGCGTTAATCCTTTTCCTTACCAGCTTTATTTGTTCTCTACTTATACCTAGTTCATTTATTTTATTTTTTGTTTTATTTTTAAATTTTTTTCCTAATTCATTCATTTATTCAGCATTTATTTATCCCTTGCAGCTTATGCATAAAAATACTGTAGTAAGTTCTGTGCGAGACAGAAATGAGTAACATTCCTTGACACTTGTATGTTTATATTGGATTTTTGCTAGTGGACTCCTGTTAAAGGCATTGACTTAATCGTGAAAGATATTTCCACATTCTGGTTGGGAATTGCCTCTCATGGGGCCATTAGATTAAAGTCCATAGGACACAGTGCTGTGGATATGAGAGGTGCTTAGTTTGTAGTCCTGAACCTGGTCCTGTGCAAAGGAGGTGGCTGAGATGTGAGCCCTTGCAGGGCCTGCTGCTTTATGGAGGGTTCTTTAGCACCATGTCTTCAGCAGGCTGACCACAGTTGCAGACCCTTCCGCTGGTCCCACTGAGGCTGTTGTGGCTTTCTCCGTAGGTGCTGATAGTTGTGCCCTTCCGAGAAGCTGCTCTGCGGGTGGTGCAGCTCTTCATCAGCCTCCTTGAGGGTGACAGCAAGAAGAAAATAATTGTGAGCAATAAAAAGAGGTTTAAGGGAGAGTATGGCTCAGATCCTGAGGAGAGACCACCCAACCTGAAGAGGCCTGAGGATTATGAAGCTGTGTTTGTCGGCAACATCGATGACCACTTTCGGATTGGTAATTCCTTCTTGTTTTAATTCAAACCCTGAAGACCTGTGGTATGTGGTTCACATGACTAGAGGCTAGAAGCTGGTAATTGGGCATTCTCTCAGTGGGGTGAGATGTCCTCCTAACAGGACCCGGGTGCATTTGGGACATCTTGTCTGCCAGGGAAGAAAGTCTTGCCTGGCTAATAGGGTGGACACTTGGCTCAGGGTGGAGCATCTCTGAGACTGTATGTAAAAAAACACATGCACATTTAAGGCAGAAATGTCTCAGCACATCCAGAATTAGTAGTTGATGCTACAGGGGGAGTTGGAAGTGATAGGGCCTTAGAGGGTCCCTCCGGGGAGGCTGAATAAACTGGGTGTCCATGTGCAGTGGTGGACTTCCCTTCTTCCAGCCATGGAGAGTGCCTACCCTGAATTGTCTCCACTCAGGACTTATCGACTGCTACCCAACTTGTCACATCTTTGCTTGTCTCAACCAGCTCCCATATACTTGGTTGTATATTGATAGAGTAAATTCTTAGGAAAATGTTTTTTCGCCACATAAGCTCATTCAAAAAAAAAAACATGCATTAAGCGTCTACTTTGTACCAAGTACTGCTAAGAAGCTGAGGATATAGAAATAAAAGTTGTGGTTCTTGCTGTTAAGGAAATCCAGCCTAATGGGCAAACAGTACAGATTGGTAAGTGCTGATCAGAGGATGCAGTGGATGATCTGGGGGTGTTTAAAGTGATTTTTGTACTAAGATTTCTGTTGTAAGGAGGGGTGGTGAGAATGCAGGAAAAGGTTTTAGAGAGGAAACTGCACTTGCAGAGGCATCAGGGTCAATAAGCCGGGTATGACCAAAGATCTACAAAGGCTTCAGCATGGCTGGAGTGTCAGGTGCACCAAAGTAGGGGGCACGAAAGTAGATGTTTTTTTTGTTTGTTTGTTTTTTATTATTTATTTATTTATTTAATTATATTTTTTTTTGCAAGAGTAGATGTTTAGTTTTAAACATGTGCAGGTGTCCTGCCAGTTGCTGATATGTCAGTTTTGAGCTCAGGAAAGAAAAGTTGGGCTGGAAATACAGATCTTTGTGAAGATGGCGTTATAGCTATGGTTAGTGAATAAATTTAACCATTTATTGCCCATAAGCTTATGTAAGGTGTGATTGGAATTTAGAGCCAAATCACAGACTTGTGGAAGAGCTGTTTGGATCTGAAAAGATAGATATGAGCCAGGTCAGGGCTAGAAGAGGAAGTGAGTATTAAAGAAATGGAAATTACCAGGAAGGAAAAGAACATTTTGAGGAGGATGTGTTCCATATGCTGCTTCATGCATTTGTAACAAACATTGAAGTATCTTTGATTTGGTGACCTTGGCAAGAGTCCTTTCAGTGGAGTCCTGAGAATCAGGCCAGATTGTGATGTACTGAGGAACAAGTAGGATATTTCTTTCTTCTTTCTTTCCTTTTTTTTTTAAGATTTTATTTATTTATTCATGAGAGACAACAAGAGACGCAGAGACATAGGCAGAGGGAGAAGCAGGCTCCCTGCTGGGAGCCCCATATGGGACTCCATCCTGGACCCCAGGATCACGCCCTGAGCTGAAGGCAAATGCCACCCAGGCGTCCCGAGTGAGAGATTTCTAAGCAGACACCATTCTCTGGAGAGGTTTTAGCGGAAAGGGAAGGAAGAGAGTGAGAGCTAGACAGGACCATAGAGGCAAGAGGAGGATGATTATTTTAGTAAGGAAAACAATTTGAACATGGGTCATGTGCTAAGGGGAAAGACGTGAAGGTCAACAATGCAAGGTGAGTGGGTAGCAGCTGATGGCTTGGTGGAAATAATGGACGGCTGTGTACTTGGCTGTCTCATGTAGGCGTGGCAATACTCCAGAGAAGCATTCGTCTCTATGCCCCCTTCTACTCCTCCGACATCCTCATTGCCTCCCCGCTGGGCTTGAGGACCATCATCGGTGCAGAAGGAGAAAAGAAGAGAGATTTTGACTTTTTGTCTTCTATTGAGCTGCTCATCATTGATCAAGCCGACATTTATCTGATGCAGAACTGGGAGCATGTCCTGGTAATGTGGTCATTCACATTTAGAGTGCCAACATTCATGTTTAGAGAGCGAAGGAGCTCAGTGATTTGAGTCTTAAAGTCTTAAATCCAGATGAGAACTCAGTTTGGAAATGGAAATGTTTCACATTTTCCAGTTTGAAAAAACCTTTCGGTTCTCTTCTACACACAGATTGGTCAATAATTATTCAGAGAAGTAAAAATTCTTGCCAGTATTTTCAAATCTCCAGAAGATTCCTTCGCCTTAAGGTCACTTTAGTGTGGCTGGTTGGTAGATTGGTTCCTCCTGACCTGGAATGCCTTCATCTAATATAATTCCTCCTATAGTTTATGCTCATTCTTTTTTGTTTGGCCTTCAGTGGAAATGGGAAAACATTACTCAGGATTTCTTAATGTGTGATCTTGTTTTACAGAGAAATGTAGGATATCTTTATCCTGTTAATGTAACTTGTGCTATAATTTTTTCCTCCTTTTCTGCATACTCTGCAGTGTTGTCCACTTTAGGATTGAACAACCGTGCTTTGGAACAATCCTTATCACAGAACCATAGATTTGTTTTTTTAAGGCTTGTGAGAACTCACTTCTACAGTCCCAGGGCTTGTAGGAAGGTGGGGCAAATAAAGGGGATACTTTAATTTATAAAGTGGTGAATAAATGCAGAGTATTTGTTATCCTTTAATATATATTTTAAGGTGAAAATACAATTAAGATAGAAAAGGCATGTCAATGTATTTGAGGAAACGGCACATGTGGTGGCTCTAGGATCTCCTCATTTTTTGAAAACCAGGCCACTGAAGAACAATGGCTATGGTATCCATGGCATTTCCCTTCTTGTCCAAATTTGGGACTGAGGAACCCATAGAATGACCAGGGTGGCATTTCAGAAGTTCCTTTCAAAGGAATTTTCCTGTAGGTACCATTTTTTGAAAGATCTAAGAGGTAGCCAGTTTTAGCTTAGCTTTCTGTTGGGGGTGTTCAGCTAACTAGGCGATTCACACCCATCTGACCCTTGATTTTCTGATGTAATTTGGAATTTGACTATACATACTCCATGGGGTTAATAAGATGACAGACTTGTAAAATGCTTAGTGTCAACAGGTACATCCTCCATAAAAATTAATGGTAGTGTTATTTCTGCTCAAAGCATTTGATGAACCACATGAACCTACTGCCCTTGGATTCACACGGGGTGGACTTCTCCCGAGTGAGGATGTGGAGCCTTAATAGTTGGTCTAAGTACTATCGCCAGACTCTGCTTTTTGGGGCCCTGCAGGATGCCCAGATCAACTCCGTGTTCAGCAAGTACTGCGTCAATCTCCAAGGCCAGGTGGGCATGCTCTCCTTGTTTCTTTGGGTCTTCCTGAAGCATTGTATACTGTTTGGGTCATGAGGCATACGGGAAGGAAGGCATTTGGTCAGTAGTGGGGATGACTTGCTTCCTAACTTTCTCATCAATTCCTGGCAGGTGGCTGTGAGGAACGTCCCAATAACTGGCTCCATCAGCCATGTCCTGGTGCAGCTTCCACATGTCTTCCAGAGGATGGAAGCTGAAAATGTAGCTTCGGTGATTGATGCCAGGTACCTCTCTCTCTCTCTCTCTCTCTAGTCCTGTTGGACACGTCGGGGGTACAGAGAAGTTTTTAGCCTTGGCATACAAATTTAAAATTGGATTCCATGTCAGTTTTACTGATGAGATCATAGAACCCAATCATCATTGATACAGGAAGAAACTGAAGCCCAGAGAGGAATGGTACTTTGTCCTGGTTCTCTTAGGTGGTTAGTGGCAGCATTAGTACTGTAAATCAGAGGTTCTTCCCACAAGATTGTGGCATTTTTTAAATTAACACTGCTTGATACTGCTAAGTGTTCCGTGTCAACAACTTAATTGTAATCCCTTCAGGACAAGGACTAATGCCCAGAAGCAAACACTGAAACCTTTAAATATTCGACTGTAAGCCTTTCACCTTTTGGCTCCTGCAAACATCAAGGTTCCAGTGTTTCTAATTCTCTATTTCCCCTGTCTCTTCATTGTGTTTCATCAGGGGACCATGGTAGGAGAAAGATACTTTGCATATGGGAAGTGTTCAGTAATTACTTGTTGATTGATTAACCACTGAATGAATGAATGGTGTGCTTGTCTATTTCTGGAGTAATTCTCTGGGATACACTGGCATCACCTCTATTTTTTACAGTGAATAGTTACCACTTATTTTATTTATTCTTACGTTAGCTCTTTGTGATGAGGTAAGCCAGATTGGCCTCTTTGCAGGAGGTGGAAGGAGATTGTGACTTGCCCAGGGTAACGCAGTTAGTGATGACACTGTGGGCTAATCTCTAAATCATTGACTTTGCCCTTTGCTTTTCCAAATCAGGTTTAATTTTTTTGTGAACAAGATTTTGCCTCAGTATCGTGATGCAGTCATGTCTCATACGCTCATCTATGTCCCCTCCTACTTTGACTTCGTGCGCCTCCGAAACTACTTCAAGAAGGAAGAACTGAACTTCACCCACATCTGCGAGTACACTCCGAAGTCTGGTATTTCCAGGGCCAGACACTTCTTCCTTCAAGGAGAGAAGCAGTTTTTGCTCCTCACAGAGCGCTTCCATTTCTACAAAAGGTAAAGTAGTGCTGGGTTTTGAGTGTCCTCTTAGGAGGGGAAATGTATTGCAAATCATGGCCTGCTTCTGAGTGCATGGTGGTCTTTGTGGTGCTGTGAGGTCCTCTTTCACTCTACTTTGTACAGAGAAGCTAGAGACTTTTGGAACTGGGCAGACTCTTGGTTGGTTGGTCTCTTCTCTTGTTGGAAGAGGTAGAGACAAATGAGTGATTATAGTATAATCTGTGTGTAGATCTGGAGTGAGCCCACACTTGGGATACTTCCTGTAGCCGTGGTTGTATACCTCAAGAAAGACATCATTGAGTTGAACACTTCTCAGTAGGCACAACTGAAGTGAATATGGGAAGGAAAGGAACTGTCGTGGAAGCACAGACAAAATATCAGGAACTGTGTGGTCTGGGGAGGTGGAGGCTGAGCACAAGGTCAGTGTTCCAAAAGTTACAGTGTGTTTTGAAGAGGTGCACACATGCCTCCTCACAGGAGCCTGGAGGGAGGGCCCCCCTGTTTGCAGGAGGCAAAAGGTGAAAGGCTTAGAGTTGAATATTTAATGATTTCAGCATTTGTTTGGCTTCCCCATTTTGTGAGTCTGACAAAACAAATTGGATTTGCTTTTTTAAAAAAATTCTAATAGAGCATTAGTAATATTGAGCCTTCTGTTACTATTTGCAGCCATTTGTGCCCCCAGAAGTCAGGTATTCCATTGTTTGCCAAGTCTGTCTCTGCTGCCAAGTGAAAAAGCCCTTTTTAAACCCGTTATCTATAGAGATGGAAATTGCATCCTATTATCTTTTCCTTCCTGATGTGCAGTAATGTTCAGTGAATTGATGTTTTGCCTTTACTGTTTAACTCTCAGTCATACATACTACCGAGGGGCACATTTTCTTGGAGAACCCCAAACATAAAAGCCAGAAATCAATCCAGGTTTTGGAGCATATCTGATGACACGTGTTGGCATTGCTTTGCCTTTTAATTTATGCCCCATGTAAGGATGTGCTCCCCAGACGTGCTCTCGTTACCAAGACGGGGAGGGAGGAATCCAGCAGCCTGGATTCCTGCCACAGCCAGGGCAGAGCAGGCTGACATGACTTGGCCTCTCTGGGTATTCTGCTGACTAGGCAATCTGTGAGTGGAGAGATGAGAAATGGCTGCACTTGTGTTCCCTGGGCTGCATTCTTGGCCACCTACACAGGGCTGTTTGGCCAAAGAGTGTTAATGAATGCCTGCTTATTGGTGTCATTATTTGCTTTGTGGAACAAGTAAGTTGTTTTCATTCATGTTGGAAAGTGATATTTTGGGGGAGTTTGCACTCAGCAGATCTTAAGAGCCCTTAGTTTTCTATCAGCTTGACACATGAAAGCAAGCCTTTTAAGTGAAGTGGATGGATTGGAAAACTTCCCAGTGTGATTGTTTATAGCAAGTATGAATTAGGCTGGGAGGAAGACTGCTCTCAAAGAGCGGCTTTCCAAGGAGAGAGGGCGTCATGTCTCAAGTCGGCAGGACAGTCCCGTGGCTTACACCACTGTATTAACCAAACTGTTTTGCCCCCAGATCATTATAAAGACAAACCTAGCATGTACCACTTGCTCTATACCTTGGGTCTGGTTAATTGGTACGTCCTGTATTTAAGATGAATAGAAATAATGTGCTTCAGTGTCCCGAGACTGCTAATTATCTCAGTGTTTCCAGCTATAGATTTCTTTCCTTGGGACATCCCCAAGGTGAAGATAGGTGCTTTTATCTGCAGTGCCTTTGTGATTTGATTTGAGCATGGGGAAGGTACTTGTATGTTAAACTTTAGTATCCAACTCTGAAATTCAGTATTTATATTCTCTGTGGAAGTAGGCTGTGTTAGAAACATCACAGCTCATTTGTGAGCTACCAGAACATTTTCAACCTGAAGATGAGTCTGTTTTTTTGTGGGATTGGGGGATGAAACCAGTAGAATTAGCGTTGGACAGGCTTTTGGTCATGGCGGCCCGCCTGAGCATGGGATGCTTCACAGTGGTTTCCCTGAGCATTATCACTGGGTTGCCACAGCAGGGAGGTTTTTCAACCAGGGAAGTAAGTCAGAACTCTGGAGGTGGGATTTATGGGATTGGTGAAGGCTGCTGGGGTGTTTCTGAGTACACCCCACCTACCCTACATGAGAGTCCCAGTTCTGGAAGTAGTTTACCATCTTTATAGACAGTGTGGAGGAGCTATCCTTTCAAATCAGTTGTGGGTGCCTCATTTATCTTTCACAATTGGTAGGTGAGCTAGACATCCAGAATGTCCTTTGTCCTTAGTTTAAGGTCCCATCCAGCTGTTCAATCATATTTGTGTGTTTTTATTTTTTGTTTTTAAGATTTTATTTATTTGAGAGAGAGAGCACTCACACATGATTGAGGGAAAGAGCAGAGGGGGAGGGGGAGGGACAAGCAAGCAGCTGTGCTGGATGCAGAGCCCACCCAGCCTGATGCGGGGCTCAATCCCAGGATCCCAAGATCATGACCTGAACCAAAACCAAGAGTCAGGTGCTCAACTGACTGAGTCACCCAGGTGCCCCTTGGTCATATTTGTAGGGGTCACTGAATACCCAAAGCCTGTACCAAGGGAGGAAGAAGGGAAGGGATGCTGAAGATTAAGGAGATTTGGCACTGACTGCCCCTCTGAAGAAGCCCTCACCACGTTCACTATTTCCAGAAGATAACTAGTCTCTATTGTGGGAGAATTGAAACTGAGAGAGATTTTCTTGGTTTTTTAAATATAACACTTACTGGAATTGGTTTTGTGCTTTGTTTTAAAAGTACTCTGGTTCTAAGAATATTACACAATTATTGTAAAGAATTTGGAAAATCTAGGTTAAAAAAAAGAAAATGGAATCTCACTGCTTGGATATTAATACCCATTTTGGTATATTTCTTTCCCGTTTTTCTACGTGAAAAATAGGTGCACATGAACATAGACACGTGTATACACACTTTTTTGAAAATATTACATTGGGATCACATTGTACTCATTGGGATTTTTTTCTTTTATATCTTGTATGTGCTTATTGAAAAACGACTTTAAAATGTTAACACTTTGGCATGTATATTTGTAGCTTATGGGTGCATTTTTAAGTTGATGTATGTAGCTTTGTCACATCCTCCCTTCCCCCAACATTTTATTTGGAAAGATTTTCATTTCAAAGGAAATCATAAGACTAATAGTGAACATCTATAACTCCTTTTACTTGGGCTTCATCAGGTGTTAGCATTTGAGTCTTATTTTTCCTTCCTGAACCATTTGTAAATAAACTACAGAAGGCTTCATGGCACTGAATCCCCAAATCATTCAGCATGTAGTTCCTAAAAACAAGAATATTCTTTTCTCTAACCAATACCATTATCATTCCGCTTGATACTACTACAGTAATATCATCTGATACATAGTCTGTATCCAGATTTTCCTAGTTTCCCTACATTGACCATTATAGCTGTTTCACTCCCTAACCCAGGATTCAGTTAAGGATCATATGTTACATTTGGTTAATGTTTCTTTAGTCTGTCTTAGCCATTTTCAGCTAGGGGCGGTTTTGCTGAGACATTTGGTCATCAAAACTGAAGGGTTATTCTAATGGTGTAGTGGTTTTAGTGGGTTGAGGTGAGGATTCTTCTGGATATCCCAGAGTGCACAGGATAGTCCCACAACAAAGAATTATCTGGCTCAATATGTCAGTAGTGCTGAGCTTAAAGAAACCTTCATCTAGAATAATTCTCTTGCTTCATTTTTTTCTATGACATTCTTTGAAGAGTCCAATCCAGTTTCCTCTAGAATGTCCCAGAGTCTGGATTGTGTAATTGTTTTTTAATATTTAGATCAGTGGTTCCCAAACTTTGCTGTACATTAGAATCCCCTCGGAGAGCTTTTAAAGATTCAAATACCCGAGTCATGTTCCAGTGCCATTTAAATCCCTGTGTCTGGGAGTGGGGATGAAGGATAGATACCTCACACCTACAAACAGGTGATTCAAAGTGCAACAAGGTTTGGGAACCACTGACTTAGGTTAAATACCTTTGCTAAGAACTCTACATAGAGGATATTGTATACTTTCCACTGCATCTTGTCAGTAGCACATAATGTCAGTTTATGTCATTTTTGGTGATGTTAAATGTAATCACTTACAAGGTGGGTCTGCTAGATCTCTCCATTGTAAGGTATCTTTTCTATTTAATTAATAAGTAGTTTGTTAGATGTGTATTGAATCCTTCTTAATGGTTACGTAGTATTACGTTGTATGGATATATAATTAGCCCAGTTTCCTTTTAATGGGTATATAGATTTAAAAAAAAAATTGTTCTATTATATACAACAGTGCCACAAATATCCATATGCATAGTTGATGGCGTAGTTGCCTAGTTATTTCATTAGGATGAACATGAAGAGGAAAACTCGTTAGCTCAAAATCTGTACACGGTGAAAAATTCATTATACATTGCTGCTTATTTGCTCCCTACGATCTTCCCCATATCTTGTCTCCCCTCCCCAGAATACACACACGATAATTTATACTCCATTCACCTATTTTCTGCAAAACCTCACTTGATAACCCAATGATAACATCAATGTTTTAATGTCTTTTTCTTGCATTTTCATGTTTGTTTGTTGTTGTTGTTTTTTTTCATAATTGTCAACTGAACGTAGAGGCTGAGGTCCAGGTACACCTCTGACTGTCAGGCCACTAGTGTGGGATTTGTGAATCTAGTCAGGATTTGGTTGTTACTATAGTTAACCCTCCAGACTCCACAGACTTCAAATTCCTCTAGCACACAGTGGCTTAGTGTGAGGCCTGGGTCTTTTCTCAGGGTTCAAATCTTCTTGGCTTTCACCAAGCCCTGTACCCCTGTGCCAGCGGAGGGGGTCTCCCTCCACTCTAACCCCTCCCATGGCGGTGGGCTGCTCTTGCTTGTTACTCCCTGCAAGACTTGAGGTGGGGTTGGGGTTCTCTTGGTGTAACTTCGTTCTAGGCAGGCCCTTTCATTCTGGGCTGTGGAAGCGGGGCCTTCTCAGTGTTCCTGCAGCACACGCCATGGCAGCAGAACCTGGTCTTTTATCTGTAAGGGGTCTTGGTAGAAGAGAGTTTCCTGCTTCTCCCACGGTGGTGGTAGATCTCTGCTTCTGTCAGTGCAGGATCTTGGCTGGAGTGGATTTTGTGCCCTTTCCCCAGAGGCAGTTTGCTGTTGCTTTCTATTGGGTCTAAGTCCTACTATGGGAAAGGATGGGATGGGGCTTTACCACCCCAGATAACTTGCTTTATTACCCTCCTCCCAACAGCAGTTGACCTTTGCCCCCTCTGGTCAGTTTTGCACTTCTGCTTCATATGGATAGGGGTCTGGGAAGTGAGACATTTCACCAAAGGGGTCTCTCTCTCAGGTCTTCTGTCCTGCCTCCCATCTTTCTCCAGGACTCCTAGTGGAGGCCTGTGGAAAAGAATTCATGAGTGAGTATAAACAGATCCCAGGGATTCTGAACTGTCACATAGAACCACACTTGCCCTTTAAGAGTTTGTTCAGAGTATAGCTGTTTTCTTGCTACCCACTTTTTTGGCAGGTGCCCTCTTCCTCCTGTGCTCCTTCAAAGTGGAGTAGTTATGGGTCCTGTCTCTGCAGTGAGCTTTGTCCTCTTTGGAATTCAGTTATTGGTAAGCTGGCTCTTGAGATCAGGTTGCACATCTCCTCCCAGCCCCTGAGCCCAGCACCATGACACTGGTAGCTTGAAATTGGCCATGGTGGGAGTATTTACACCACAGAAGTTGGCAACTGCTTCAAATCAGCACTCTTAGCACTTTCTTCCCCACTGAGAAACCAGGAATTAAACATATACAAGCGCACCCTTGAATCAGTTCACTTGGTTGAGTTGTGACATCAGCTGTCTAGGCTCAAGAAAAGGAATGCTTTTTTAGGTTAGGTGGCTTTTTCTTGTTAGTGTGGAAGCAATATCCTCTTGAGTTTACTGTATACTAAGCAGAAGTGGAACTTCATATTTATTTTTGTTTGTTTTGATAACTAGTGAGGTAGAACAGGATTTATTCATTAGCCATTAGAATTTCTTCTTTATGATAATGTTAAAAGGTGAGCCACATAGTGGATTGCAATTAAAGTTTGGAAGACTAGGGTTGCCAGAAGGGTCAGATGATCCATGGGATGAGAAGACAAGGAAGGCTTATCCTCTGGGAATAAAATAAAACTCCCAAGGGAGTCTAACAGCAGCCTATCAGAGAGTTTTAACAGGAAAAATCAGAACCTTGTCAACTATAAAATCTTTTGTTATGGGGCCCCAGAGGGAATAATTGACCTCAACCCAAACCATACGGTGAGTCCCTGGGGTCTATACCCCACCACCACCACCACTGTGAGCACTGCAGCAGGGAAAGAAGTGCATAAGCTGTTGAAACTAATTGCTTTTCCATAATGCCTAATGGATCCTCAGGCAGGATTTTGTAAATGGATGAACTTGGGACATCTGCTATGGAGTTAACACGTCTACAGAGTGACAAGAAAAGACTGATGGGAATGCATTTACAGTTTATGCAGTTTATTTTACATACTGGGTCTGACTTCCTCTCCATTACAGAACATTCTGTTTTGTCTGATTATACTAAGGGCAGTGTTGAGTTGTTAAGTGTTTGCTTTTGAAGTTTTCTGTGACAGATCTTCAGTCCTAGTCTGCCTCAGTCTACCCAGAGTAGGCTCAAAAAAAGCAAATTTATCAATATATCAAGCCAAACATTAGGAATTCAAATATGTTGCCACAGAATAAGTCCTTCCAAGTCAAATTAAAATAACCTTTGGTCTGTTGGTTGTTTATGGCATTATCTTCCTCCTTGAGCATGGAGCAGCAAGAGTGAGCTCTGCCCCTGTCAAACTCTTAGGTAGCTTTTCCACAAATTTTCTCAAGTAGACAGATACTAGTCTCTCTTTCACCTTTTAATAGGTATACCATAAAAGGGATCAGGAACCTGATTTTCTATGAACTGCCAACTTACTCCCACTTCTACAGTGAAGTCTGTAACATGCTGAAAGCCACCAGCAGAGGAGAGGAAGCCGCCTGGACTTGCACTGTCCTCTACTCCAGGTATGATGCCCAGAGGTTGGCTGCTGTGGTTGGTGTGACACGGGCTGCACAGATGCTGCAGTCCAAGAAGAACGTCCACCTCTTCATTACTGGAGAAAGATGAGAATTTGTTGGACAGGAAATGGTATTGGCGGGATATATAATGCTGATGCTGCGCCACTTGGACCCAGTTCTGATCACTTACACAAGAGAAGGACTGCTATAGAAGAGGAGCATCAGGCAGTATCATATTGGATACTTCTTCCTTTTCAGGTCATGTGTCCCTGAAAAGTTAAATGTAAACCAAATTTTGGTCACATCTCTCAGACCTCGGGAGAGAGCTAATAGAATTCCAAAAGACTGATAGAAGGAAAAACTTCTACTTGTGAAATTTTTTGTAAGCTATAAATTCTTCTATTGTTATTTTATTCTCTATTGTACTTGATAAAGTCTTTCAGGTTTGCCTGTTTCTGTTTGATGCTTTCTTAAAAGTAAGGCATACATTACATTGCTTGTGAGAACTGGTTATAAGAAATCAAATACTACTTGGTACTGAATATCATTTTAATTTTGGGTCATGCAGGTTTTGCAAGACTTATTTTTCTCCAGCCAAACATTTTTTAAACTTTAAACATTCTATTTTAATTCAACTTCAGAGAGTGTATCCACTGATCTTTTTTAAACTCATAATAGTGTTTTAGTTAAAATCTACACTTAAAATCACGTTATTTAAAATATTAATCTCTTGTTTCAAGAATTTTATGAAACTCTTGGTGTTGAAATAGCCATCTTAATATCACCGTCTTCATTACTGTAGTCATTTTGTAAATCCTATAACAGCTAAAAATGAAAAGGAAGTTGCACTTTTAAAAACATTTTTATCGTGAAATATTCCCAGAAAAATTACAAGTACCGAACCCAGACCATTTGAGGATAAGTTGATGACTTGATAGGCCTTATCACTTGTAAAAGTTACCCCTGAATTTAGTGTGTGTATTGCCTCTAAACAAGGACCTTTCTCTGTGTAACCAAAAAACAGATATCAAATCTGGAATTGCTGTTAATACCTATTGCCATATTCTGACGCTGTTTGCCAAATATCCCAATAATGTCCTCTCTAGCAAAGGATACAATTTAGAATTACATACTGCCTTTAATTGTTACATCTCTGTAGTGTTCTTTATTCTGGAAGAGTACCCCAACTTTTCACTGGCTTTTTTGACCTTGAAACTTTTGAAGATAATAGGCTGGTTATTTTGGATAATGTTTCCCTTCGATTAAGTTTAGTTTATGCATCGTTGGCAGGAGCACTGCTGTAGCCTCCTCACTGCATCTCCTCAGGTGGCACACAGTGTTCACTTGCCCCATTACTGATGATGCTAACTATTTGTTTTTCTTTTATGTTTGTTATTATTTTTAAGATTTTATTTTTAAGTAATCTCTATACCCAATGCAGGGCTCGAAATCACAACCCCAATATCAAGAGGTATGTGCCCTACCTGCCGAGCCAGCCACTTGTTTAAGGCAGTGTTTGCCCAGCTTTTTCATTATGGAGTTCCTTTTATCCTCTTTATTAATTTATGTGGACAAGTGTGGACTTGTAGTTTTACCTTCTATTCAGTGGGTTATAATCCTTTACTATCAGTGTGGACATGTATACACACACAACATCTAAATTTATTTCTGTATCCATGTACGGAAAGCCATGGATTCACAGCACACCTCTGATTGCAGTCTGACACTACAGGATACCTTCCAGTTTTCTCCCTCTCTGTAGTTGTAACTGCTTCTCAGATAGTGGCCCCTATTATCCTCAGTAGAACAACCCATAATCGGTACAGATTTTCTTTTACTTGGATGCACTTAAAATTGCTTATTAAAAAAAAAAATCATTTTTGGGTAGTTCTTCCTGCTGAATATTTAAATAGGCATTTTATTTCTCTCTTTACTCAACATGGAAGGTAAAACAATTAACTCCACATACAACTGGGTTCCTGAAGTTCCCAAAATTGAGGTGACAAACTAGCCAAACCCATGCTATAAAGAACTTTTTATATTCATAGTGTCCTGTGGTTATTGGCCTACTTGTGCTACTGTTTACTATAGAGCTTTGTATATTACGAGAAAAATGAGTTCACTTGCCTAGTTCAGAAATAGGAGGAAGAAGCACCCCCCGCCCCATTCTCTTTGCATGTTCATCACCCTGTGCATTGTAGCTGATCTCATGACCTTCATTATCACTGTTCACAAGACTCCTGGATCTCCAGCTTCTCTGGATCTCTACACCCTTGTGAATCTGGATTTCAAGTCCAGATTCTGGAAGAGAATAATGTAGCCCCAGGAGTCTGCATTTTATTAAGCATCCCTAGTGATTTTAGTGCTGGTTTATAGCCAGCCAACTGCTTCTCACCTATAAGAACACTGAGGATTTCAAGTGTGAACAAAGTACTGCTTTTGTTCCTGGCTCAGCACCTGGGAAAGAAGGTAAGCCTCAGCAGTTGGCCCTGACTCCTGAGTTGATTGCAAAAAGTTGATTCTCTGGAATGGTTTCATTAAAAAGATGCCTTAATATCACGTCTCTCATACGCAATCAGGGAGAGAAGGGAATCTTGGACTATGGATGATCATGCCTGAGCTGGAATTACATATATCTTGGTATTTCTTAGCAAGACTCATTTGCAGCAAGCAAGGGCCTCTCTAGTGCCTATAGAAAACAGGTAAAAGAATGGTCTACATCCTGGGAAGAGGTGGAATTATAAGGTGGGAAAAGGAACTTTTCCAGAAAGCAAGACTTAAACTTTTCCTTCCCCACAGTGATAACAACTAGCTGGAGCACTTTTTTTTTTTTTTTTTTTTTTTTGAGGGGAAAAAACGCTTTGAATCATGAATGCTTTGTACAGCTGGCTGCACCATGTGCGATATTCAAAAAACAAGAACTAGCTAATCATAGAGAACCAGCAGCTAAACAGCCCTCCACTGGCTTCCAAAGGGCTTATAATTGGTGCAGATGGCCCCGCAGTATGGGGAGTGTGTCCCTGCTGACTCCTTGCACCCCAGAGGGCCAGAGGGGGCTCATGAAGGCTCTTGGCCCTGATGCGCCCTCGGAACAAGAAGCCAGGCTGCTAAGGGAGGAGACAGAGGCAGGTGGTGTGGAAGCCTGCTGGCCGCCGTCTGCCCAGCCTTCCCAGGGCCACATGAGCAGATCTTAAGGCTGCAGAGTTTAGATTTGATGAGTTGAGGGCCTCAAGATGAGAGAAGGCCTGGGGTGCAGGAACAGAGCTGGAAGTTCTTTATAATCATCTGAAGAGCTTCATTGTGCAACCTCTAGGTGGCCGTGAGGTGCCAGCAGCTAGCAGCTTGCGGAAGGAGAGGAATGGAAACGCATGGACTTCACCTCCCAGGGAGCATCCTCCCAGGGCAGGGGCCCTCGCAGCTAGCCTGCCTCTCCTTCCACCCCCTACCCTTCCAGTCTCTTCCCCAATTTCTCTGTCTTTAAAGACTTATGGTAGTGATCTTTATTATCAGTTTTCTACTCCAGATAATTCGTTTAAAAGAGCTTTTCTGGAAGTCTAGCTCAATAGGGTTCTAAATAAATTTCAGTCAGCTTTTAATTAGAGTCTGAGAATTGGAAGTAGATACACAGATAACCCAAAGTTGATGTAGTCTCTGGAAGGCAAGAGGAGAGCTCTTTCCTCTGGGCCTGTCGGCCCCCTCCCCAGTGAACCCACCATGTTCAGCTGACAGAAGAAAGTGTGTGTAAAAACCTCCAGCCCTTCCTCCTATACCATATGCTCTAATCAGAGTTGCAATAAAATTCTGTGAATTTTACGTCCTGCTTCTGAAACAGTGCATGGTTCTGTCCCTTCATCAAGTTGCTTTGTTCTCTGAGGACTCTGCTTGCTTTAGATGTGGGAAGGAATCACCTCTGCTCACCTGGCACGTACTTCAGTGTAAATCCTGGGTTCCCCTTACCTCTCTGGCCACGTTGCCGTTGCTTCTGTGGGAGGCGAGGGCACAAGAAAAGACGCTCCAGGCCTCCGTGAAACAGGCCGCCCATCTCAATAGTGAGGTCCTCAACAGTTAGTGCCCCACAAAGGAAGCCGCCGGCTGCCGGGTGAGCAACTCTACCCAGGTGTCACACTCGCCGCTGGGACCAACAGCTGCACTTGCTGGTCCCTGACAGCCCCTCACATCAGGTGCAGAATGACACATTCCTGGGCGGCTCCTGGCCAAGGAGGCATGGTCTTCAGGCTTGGGCCTCTGCAGCTGGCTGTGACCAGGTGGGAACTAGCTGCGGCTGACAGGGGAAGGAAGGCAGTTTTGCGGCTTGGCTGCTTTGGAAGCTGTACTGAATTCCCGCCCATCTGTTCTCCCAACTGAGCCAGGGCCAGTGCTATCTACCTCTTGGCAACTCAGGGAAGGACACGTAGACCGGTGTCCTGCCTGCCCTCTGCAGCCCGTCTCAGATGCCAGCGTGACTCCCTGCAGAGAGATGGCCCTGGGCCCACAGCTGGTGTGTGCCCACAGATGTTCACGGGTTTCTGCTTTTTGCGGTTGCCGTCATTTTTCAAAGCTGGCCCTGAGCGGGATGCTGCGACTGACGTTGCTGACCTACCGTGGCTCTGCTCGGGTCCCACCGTCCCTTCTTCTCCTCTTTATAAAGTAGGAAAGGATCCTGCTGTCCTGACAGAGGGACATGAGAGGATGTGGAAGAGGCTGCTGTTTGCTCTGTAGTCACGTCCTACTTCCTAGGAACAGGACCCTGAGTTTTATTGGGGGGACGGTGCCCAGCTACAACTACGTTTCCCAGTCCCCCTTGCAGGTGTGGCCAGGGAAAGGAGCACTAACCATTGCTCATGTGAGGAGAGCTCTTTAAGACTGAGGGGAACACTTCCCCTTTGCCCCTTGTTCTTCCCGTTTGCCTACCTGGAACACAGAAGTGATGAATGAAGCTCTTGAGAAGACGGTGGAGCAGAAAGAGTGGCCTAGTCCTCTGATCGTACCCTGAAGGTGCCGTACCAGTCCTATGTGGCCTCCCTTTGCACTTGTAGGTGAAAACCTAAAGTCTTCATTTATTTAAGCCACTGAGGCCAGGCCTCTATGATTAGCAATTCCTAACTGATAACAGAGGACAAAAATGGGATCACAGAGTCCTGAAGTCCAGAGACTTTACCTCTTCTTTCTTCTGTTCTCTGCAGGGTCCCACGTGGGGACTGTACTTTAGGGTTAGATGCCTGGCCACTCCATGACAGTGGGGAGTGAGCGCTAAGGTGACTGTGCTATCACTGCTGTCCCCTGCAGTCCACACTGGATCCATGTCTTCTTGTAGAATTTAATGGAATTTTGATAGTAGAGAAATAATTGGCAAGAAAACAGACTAGCTCCCTAAAAGCTGGTGATCACCTGCCTTTTATCTGTTCCGCTGTGTCTCAAGGCAAAATTAGGTAATGAATCAGGATCCCCAGTTGG